TGGGTATTAAAGAAATCTCATTTGATCCTTCTATTATATTTCATCAATCTGACTTAGAAGAGAACCTGATTTCACATCAAGATTCGCTTATCATCAATGTTTAGATTAGCAATCCTTGCAATAATATTAAGAAAATTCTGGTTGATAATGGGAGTTCTATTAATATTTTATTCTATTTTATATTCCTCAGCCTGTATTTAATTATGGAGAAGCTTAATCTAGCTGTATGATAATTATATTGATGAGTGAGGGTACAAGGAACAATCAGTCTCCATTTTTCTATTAGATAATCTCTCTAACAAGCAACTCACTTGATTTAGGCTTCGTTTCGGACGGCTTTTTTACTGCTTCTTGAAGCAGCTTATTAGTTAAAAAATTAAAATTTTTGTACTAAAAATCTGCTTCAAGAAGCAATAAAAAAGCCGTCCCAAACGAAACCTAAATTTATAATAGTTATGCCATAATCAGCTTATAATGTTATATTTAGGAGGCTTCTCCATTCAATCATTGATGGTATTGTTTCTATGTCACATTTAAAGATAAAGTTCTCAATTTCTATTTAGGTTAGTGAAGTACATGAAAATCAATAAATAGCATAATCTTCCTACTTAAAATAAAGCTCAACCACAACTATTAGTATATCGAGCAATATAAATTATGATATTTGGGATAAAAAAAATGCTTTAGAAGGTTTCACCCATCCTATTATCAGATAAAAAATCATCATAATTATTAAAAATTGGTTCTTTGTTGTGAAGGAGGAGAGGAGTATATAATTTTTTTATAATAAAACTATGCCATCATTGCTTGGAGTTTAACATATATTTTTGCTATTAATCCAAATGTAATCTAACACTTTTTTCAAAATAAACCCAATGTTCAAGGTTATCATTCAAAAGAAAAGAAACTTTCCACTATAACCTATATAGCTAATTTTGAGTAAATTAGAGGAGTTTTGGCTAAATGTTTTAATAATTTTTTGTTACAATCGATATGCAAACTTTAAGGAAGGTTGAACTTATAATTAAAGAGATTTTATTGAAATTATAATTTACAATGTTGAGGGGAGGTTTACATTGAAGTCTAGGGAGTAGTTGTGCCTTACCATTTTTTTGAAAATATAATTTTACACTAATTTTTTTCAAAGACGTAATTTCTTTTTTAAGATGATATATATTTCGACATCCGAAAATACGAAGGAAAATGATACATCGCCAAAAAAATTTTATGATGATATGACATGAATCTAAATATAGTATTTATATATGAAACTACATTTATTAAATTGAGGACCATCTTAATGCTGATTTTAGCAAGCTTATAATCAAACTGAACATCTTGATGAGCTACTCTCAACAGCACCAAAAATGTTCCAAGTAGAGTCTCAATAAGCCCAAATCAAGAATTTGAAGTGTGATTATAAACTTTGTGATATTAATTGAAGGTCAAATGATCTTCAAGTTTTGCATGCTTATAATTAAAATGAGTATCTCGATAAGAAGAATATAATAAGAATATCACTCAAGTTCAAAGTTATTAAAGCACTTAAATGTTGATATAGTGATATATGTTCATTGAAATTAACACGAGTCATACACTTGAGTTCTTTAAATTTTGGCTAAATTTATTAAAATATCACTCCAAAGAACTATAAATAGGACTCCATTTTCCATGCACATGAATTTGGAGAGAGAACAAAGAGATCTGAAGGGATCTAGAGATCTGTCCGACTTTTTTTTTGCCAACGATGACGCTAGCAACTTCCATCACCCATTTGCCTCGCCTAGCTGCTATTACTCGTGTATCATCATCTGACCTACAACACATGATTGAAATCACCCAACCACAATCATAACCCTTCTCTATATTTTCACAATTATCAACTACAATAACAAGAGTTCGAGCTAGTGTTTTAAACTTTCTCATTTTCTCCAATTGAGGGGCAGAACTGGTCTTTATAATATCTACTTAGTATATCATTTCATTTAAGCTAGACCCCTTTTTTTCATTTTATTTTTTGAGTTTTTCATGTAAACATTGTGATGTTTCCTATGAATTTATTATATTTGTGTGTATATAAAATCTTAGTACAATACTATGATACTATCACGAATTTTACAGTGTGCAACATGTATATTTACATGGGTCAACATTCAAAGACATTCTCAACATAAGCCAACATAAGGAAATTAGAAATTTGTTTGAATTTGAGATTTAATCAATTTGACTTGATTTTGAGTCTAGAATTTAAAATTTATTGTGAGCATATGAGTTAAGCCTTACTCATTTGAACATAAATTAATATACATACCTTAGATTCTCCTTCAAAAGAAATATCCAATAATTCTAGTGTTATTGTCAATGAATATGAAAAATCATCTAATGTTGGAAATATTTTTAGCTCTAGATGGATCCCATATTTTTATGTGAATTAAAAAGAGGTTGAGATGCTTGGATGTTTGATTTGGATGGCAATTTTGCACATGAGTAGACAACTAACACATTTCACATTAAAACCTTTAGAGTTTTTATTTAATAATGATGAAAAAAGGTTTCTAGAGGTGTAAAATTGGGATGCCCTAGTTGACAGTACCACAACATGGCCTCCTTATTCTCATTCCTATTAGAAAAATAAGTTTCCCAAGTATATTTTTTAGTAGGGCAACAAAAGAACCAAGTTGAGCCAAACAAGTATTTATTTATATTTGAGCTCATTTATTGTCAACTCAATTCAAGCTCAAATCGAGCTTTTCTATTTGTGTTTAAATTTAGATCGTTTAAAATGGTAAATGTTCAAATTTGTTTTGTGTTCGACACATGTTAGGCTTATATTATGTTTATTGAACTTTAAATGAGCGGCTCATATAAAACAATATATGAGTCTTATGGAGCTAATAACGATCTTTATTTTTGGGATATTCATTAGCTTGACAAACAAACCTTATCAAACTTACTAATAAATAATTATATCGAGCATTGTCAGGTCCTTAAATGAACATATCTAGCGAGCTTTCTGGAGACCATAGATGATCCAGCCTATCAAGCATTTTTTAGCTTAAAACAAGTAGCTTGTCTAGCTTAGAAAATAATACTTCTAATAAATGAGCTTCTTAATGAACACTCAAAACAAATAATTTAGTAAATATGAATGAACACCTATTAATCATATTAGGTTATTTATCATTTTTATAACGAGACTTAATCGGGTTTTATATCAAACATTAATTGAGTTTCTTAACTAATTTATTCACGAGCTATGTATCGATCATTTTAACGAGTTTTATATCGAGCTTGTTCACTAGCTTTAAATAATGTTATTTTTAAACATAAACCAATCAAATAAATAGCTTTTAAGCTTATTTATTTAACCATCAAGTATTAAAAAATATATATTAAACATGTTTGATTACTTAATCAAATAATTATGAACTATAATTGAGCCAAATAATGAGCTTGTCCGAAGGAAATTGTTGCAGGCAGGTAGATTCGTGGCAGTAGAGAGAGAGTTTTACGTCAAACGATGCATGAATGTCCATCACACAAATAGATAAATAAGAGAGCTTGGGAACACCAGAAAAGTTTTTTATGAGGAAAACCCGAAATGGGAAAAATCACGGGGCATTGCCCAAGTGAAGAGATTTTGCTATTTATAAATGTTATAAAGATTGGCCCGTCAATAACTTGAAAATTATGAAATTACAATGGTATGAATAATTGATCTAAGTTTGTATGGGTGCTTGGGGCTAAATGACCTTAAGTTGATGGCAGTGGTTTAACTGGGGAGATCTGAATTAAGGGTGGATGATGGAGGTCGAGTGACGATTGTCTGATTGCAGCTGGACGATGAACATTATGATGTAGGCAGAGGTCCAACGGTGGTCGGTCGAGCAAAGATCTGACAATGACGATGACGATTAGCTGGTGAAGTCAACAACGATAGGGTGGAAGTCCAATGACGGTTGCTGGTCAGTTAGAGGTTCAGCTGCTGCGGTAGAGCGGAGATATGGTAAACAATGGTGATGGTTAAATGGAGGTCTTGAGGCGACGACCCAAAAGAGGTCCGACAGTGGCGACCTAACGGAGGTCCGACTAAAGCAACTAGGGGAGGTCCAGTGGGAACAACTAGGGGAGGTCTCAAGACAGTCAGCATGTCGGAATTCCGATGACAGTTGCTGCTAGAAGGTATGGCAATTGGCGATTGGTTCAAGGTCTAGCAACGCTTGGTCGAGCAGAAGTCCAGTGACAATAAAAGTTTGCAGGCGTAGTGCTCGAGAGAGGTCTATGATTCTTGAAGCTTTAGAGCTCTCTTCAATCTCTAGCCAAGGGTCCCTCTCGTGCAAAAATTAAAGGTTTATTTATATATTTTAAGACTGACATGCCCTATAAATATGAGAAAAAAACTTAGATGCAAATTTGAAGCACTCCATCAAATGGTTTGTACTAATTCCCTCAATCATAGATCATTCTCTTGTCATTTATGTGCCTAAATGATATCATAATCAATCAATTTTGGGATCATTGGATTCATCTCATCGAGCCGCTCAATTTGATCATAAGTATGTATGCCAAATTTGGAGATTATTTGATCATTCAATTAATATTTTGAAGCTTCCAACTATACTTCATATCTTTGACTTCAACCCATTTGGGTTCAAATTATTTGAAACTTTCTTATTCAAATATATCTCGAGATTCATGCCTAACTAAGACAATTTTTAACCATGCATTATAAATAAAGCCAAATAAGCCATTCACAAGTACCTCTTTGCATTTCCAATCCTCCTCCTCAACTTTATAACCTAAAATTAACTAAACTAGGAAACAAATCAGAACATACAACATCTGGATTACCACTGTATTAAAACGATGCTTGAAGCCAAAAGCATCTAATACCAAAATAATAATATACAGCATTAAATAAAGACTTCAATTATATACATAAAACAACCATATGCTCGCAATCTTACTGCATTCATACAAATCATATGTATTTACATCGGTAGAATGTCAGATCAAGCTTTTTGGATCACATCCCAATAATTTTTATTTTTATTTTATACATCTGCTGCAGTGCAAATCACCAAGAAAATTAAAATGCAATATACATCTAGCTTTCATTATACAAGCAACATCAGTGTGAAATTGGTATCCTCTCCATGAACAAATAAAACTAAGTTAGACAGACCAGAATGTTCACAAATAGTTTCCAAATAAGACTGGAAATGTATGTATAATGAGGGGAAGAAATCAGTTCACTCAAATCAAACTTGAATTGCCTTGTGATGGAGCATTTTGTGAGTACTCGGTGAATGGAACAGCAAAAGGATTTGTTTGACCTGCTTGCAAGTGATGATTCTCCGTTTGATAGCCATATGGCACCATCATCATCATTTGTTGTTGTTGGTAGCGCTGAGACATTTGTTGCTGCTGATAATACAGTTGTTGTTGGTGGTGGTAGTGATGGTGATGATAATATTGTTGTTGTTGTTGTTGTAGTTGTTGTGTCATTAGCGTCATTTGAACATCGGTAGGAGGTGTAAGGCCGCTCGGCATAGTGAATGGATTACTCGGCTCGAACGAATTGACATTCGAACAACCAATGGAGTTGTCTCCAGCAATTTGTTGTCTTCTTGATGCATCATCATACAAGCTATCTAGTAACAGCTTATCAAAACCTCCTGCCTGGTTTGCACAAGACAAATGTTTTATTAAGACCTAGTTTGATTATGAAACGAATTGATTTTTTAATAGGAATGTTCTATTTTCTTGGTGATCAAGTTAATAACGCAAGTTCTCTTAGTCTTCTATTGTTAATAATACTACATTGTTAGTGAACAATAGTCAAACAACTGAAATAATCAGAAAAAATAGCTTTAATAGTAACACAATTGCACCCATGTTGAAGGGAGGAGTTCAACCCCCACCCACCCTTGTTGAGAGATTCCAAAAACGCTAGTGAAATGCAGTGAGCTAATCTTCTTAAACGCTAGTGAAATGCAGAAGGTAATTGATACTATTTTTTTACATATTTTTACTGTTACTAAACCTAATAAGAATGTAAGAGTTCTTATGTGGATTCTCACAGAGAAATGATTTAGCCTTAATTAATGACGTTTTTTCTTGATCATAAGGTCGTGTCGGCACTGATACTCTATGTCACTACAGGAAAATTAATAATTTCCGGCAATTTTGATGTATTTCTGGCGGTTTGGAAAATTTACGATAATTTCTGGCTGTTTATAAACCGCCGGAATAAACCACGTAGGAAAAGCAAACCAACAGCCAATTTCCATTAGCAAAAATTTCCTGCAATTTTCCGGCGGCCCAAACAACAGGAAATTTATGAACCCAAAAACCGCAGGAAAATTCTGGCGCAAAAACCACCAGTTGTTAGCTGTGGAAAAACTAAAAGCCCGGCGGCAACTTGGCGCCATCCGGTATCGAAGTTTCCGGCAGCTAAACTGTGAATTAGCCGTCGGAAACCTGTGTAATGAATCAACATAAATTCTTCAAGAGAGAACGCACGCTTCACAAATCATATTCCATAGCAGCTGAATTTAAATTATAAATTAGATTAAAGCATCATAAAATTTGTAAAAGAGTAGGATAAATCCTTGTAAATACAAACCAGTTTGCTTTCCACAACATTGCTGATATTGTTACTCGGGGTGGACACCAGTGCTAACTCCCATCCTGAGCCGCTACTGAGTAAATCTTTAAGTGTTGCTGTCCTTAATCCTTCCTCTACCAATAAAAATAATAATCATAATTACTTGTGCAAAGATAAGAAAGCATTAGAAGAGTAGCATGACTTGTAATGAGCTAGAAGTCCTTGCAGCCTAACTGATTGCAGTAGAGTAAAAAATAGAGCAATGTTTGCAAACTAGCAATAAATGTTCTTATAAATTGAAGAACCTTAATCACATTTATGTAATGATCTTTTATGTTAAGCTATATGGTTCACAGATCAATCAAAGGAAGATTGGGTGTGGTGCGATGTGCAGATTGCAACAAGAAACTCACCTGGCTGGATGATTGAAAGAGCCAATGCATTTTTCTGCTCAATGTCTGAAGCAATGGATCTTATCTCTTCAATACCCTGAAAGCTCACAGAACTTAAGTCATCGCAATCTTCCTAATATGGGACTGTATAATAGTTTACATGGAACAAAAGCATTTACCAGAAGATCTGTTGTAATCTCCAAGGGGGGTTCGACCTCAGTGATTCTTTCTAATGGTTCTACAGCCTCAACAAGTTCTTTTACCTCATCTACTGAAAGCTCTGTATTCTCTGTTGTATCCGCATGTTCTTCTTTTTCGTAGGTTAAGAGGTTTGTCTCTTGATGCTCCTTTACTCCAAAAAAGGCAAAAACAGGATAAATTCCTTAAAGAAATTCCATTAGTTTTTTTAACAAAGGTGATGTGAAACATAAAAAGGAATTGCAGAAATTTAACAAAATTTGTTAAGCTTGCCAATTTTAAAATTAATGTTTCAAAAAATTAGATTCTAGGATTTCTTAGTTGTTGTTTTGTTTTGGCATGCAGTTACAAAATAGATTAGGAGGGAAATTCAAAATAACAATAGATTTATAATAAATCTAGATGCACAAGTAACAGAAATCCACCAATTAACAACTAGAAAAATTCCCCTTGAGTTTCCCTCACTCACACTCTTGAGAGCTATTTAGCGGAGGAAAAATTTCAGCAAATTAAATGACGCCACCAAAAGACAGAAGACGCCTAAAGTATTGCCCAATGAAAACTTAGCCAGAGGGGAAGGAGTTGGTGGATTTTGGAGAACTCGCCACTGTCTGGAGATTTGGTGCTCGTCAATGGCATTCATCAAAGTGAAGAGGATCCGATCGACGAAGTCGTCGATGGTGTGGTCGATCTCAAAGTTGATGTCGAAGAAGGGTGATCTCAACACATCTCCTCATCATTGATGGTCATATACGAATCCATGGTCTTATTCAGGATCGGCCATTCATGGGAAGTAGGCCGAGGTTGTGTATCTTCTTCCTTGGATAGCGTATGAAGCATGGGAGAGGAGATGGAAGGGAGGAGGGAGAGTTAGGGTGGTCGGCCAAGGCTAGGAGAGGGACCACCTTTTGATTTCAGATTTTAGGTTTAGGTTGAGGAGGGAAAATAATTTCAAAATCTGAAATTTAATTTCAGATTTTTAATTTTGGGATGGAGAGAATGATTTAAACTTTGAATCTCCTTTAATTGGGGTAGGTTGGGGCGGCCCACCTTAATGGGAGGGATTTAATTGAGAGCAATAATGGGAAGGAGTTAATTAAGAGAGAGAGAGAGAGGGGGGAAGGGGTGGCTAAGGGGAGAGGGATGGGGGTGTCCATATTCAATGAGGTGTCTGCATGCAATGAATGTGGGATTTGGAATTAAATCCAAATTAATTTTAGATTGGGAGCGATTAGGGGAGCTTCCTAAAATAGATTTATTAATTAAGAAAGGTTTTGAAATTCAAATCTATTTAAATTCAAATTAAGAGACTTTCCTAATTAATAATAGGATAAATTTGGAAGGTATTTAAGAGGCGATTTGAATTTGAAATTAAGGGACTTGTGGAGGAGTGGGCTGGCGGCTAGGGTTTGGGCTAGGTAAGCTGGCGGCTAGGGGAGGGGCCGGATCTTGGGGTTTGATGGGGAAAAGGGTTGGCAGTGGGGCTTGGGGCCGTAGGGTTGGGTAGTGTGGGGAGGGGGGTTGCTGGCTTGAGGTGGAGAGGGGAAGGAGGCCAACGGTTTGAGGAGGAGGAAGGAGGCCGGCCGTTTTGGAGGAAGGTGGGGACGAGGCCGACAACTAGTGAAGAAGAAAAGAGGGAAGAAAGGTGGGGGAGGGAAAACCGAGAGCCCGGACTCAACCTGCGGCTAGCGAGAGTTACTTTTCCCTCACCTAGGGACTTCACCTCTCACTAGAGCTCTCAACACTCCAGGGGACAATAAAGCATAAATTTTCATTCATCGATCATCATCATATAATAGCGAGGGCCCTCATATATAAGCCTCAAAGCAACAAAAGGCACAAAGATTAAAATGCCCTTTGGGCTACAACACAAACTAATCCCTCACAGTGGTACAATGGTAAAGACTAAAGCATAAAAAAATAATACAAAAAATGCATTATAAGTAAAGACTACTAATCGTAGTTGTCGATCTATGATTCCTATGGTGATAGACGTGCTGGAATCTCCTACTTATGTCCTCATCATTCTCCCCGGGTAGGAGAATGCTCGACCCTATCGAGTAAGCGTAACAAGTGATTTCATACAACTCTAGAAGGTCGAAGTCCAATCTCTGTGGCTCATCACGATCAATCCACATGTTCTCCATCTCCGATTTTCCTTTCCATTGAACTAAATAACTTTGGCATCCACTGTCTTTAGTGGAAATGATTTCATCATTAAATATTACTTCAATTTTCTCAGCATTAGGTAGTATGGATATTTGGGAGTAGAGGTAGGCTAGGGTTCTCACCAGGTAGGGTCACACAAGGTTCAATATTTAGAGAATTTGTGGGATTAAATCAGGTCCTTCAAAGGCTACTAGATCTTCAATGTTAAACGTATGATTCATGTTAAAATCTTCAGGAAGGTCTAGCACATAAGCATTATTATTTATTTTTTATATTATTTTAAAAGGTCCCGCGCTTCTAGCATGTAACTTTTTAACGGTCTCTTGTGGGAATCGTTCAGGACGAATCCGTACCATTACAAAATTTCTAACCTTGAATTCTTTAAATCTTTTCTTAAGATCCGCATTAAGTTTATAATTGGCATTGCTTTGTTCAATCTTTTTATTAGTTTCCTTGTGCAATTCCTAGAGGTGTGATGCAAATGCAAATGTAGACTCAGATGCTCTTAACTTAAGACACATAGGGATCAAATCTATAGGTTGTCTAGGTTGGTACCCATACACAATTTCAACAGGACTTAGATCTGTGATTCGATTAATAGAGTTGTTATAGGCGAACTCATTTGTAGGAAGTTTGGAGTCCCAATCTCGAACATGTTCTCCTACCAGGATTCTTAGGAGGTTAACTAGACTCCTATTAACAACTTTAGTTTTCGGGTCAGTTTGAGGATGAAAAGCGGTTGAACATTAGAGATGTGTACCCATCTTGTGCCACAACATCTTCCAAAAATAGCAAGTGAACTTGACATTTTGATCAAATACTATGATTTTAGGTAAGCTGTGGAGTCTAACAATCTCATCAAAGTATAGTTTCGTGATTCAAGAGACATCAAAAGCTTTGGAACAAGAGAGGAAATTGTCCATCTTAGAAAAACGGTCAAGTACCACACAAATTGAGTCATGCATTCTAAAGGTCTTAGGTAATCCAAGGACGAAATCCATACTTACGTCTTACCAAGGGCAATTGGGTACCGCGAGGGGTGTGTAGAGACCTGTATTTTGTTTACGCTGTTTAGCTAACTGACAAGTGTGACACCTTTTCACTAATTTATTAACATCACGTTTAAGGCTAGCCAATAAAATCGATGTCCTATAGAGGCAATGGTTTTAAATTTGGCTAAAGTGTCCAGCTAAACCTCCAGCGTGTAATTCCCATATAAGGAATTCTTGTAGTGAAGTGTTGGGAATGCAGAGCTTTTGTGACTTAAACATATATTCATCTTCCAATAAGAAATCATTGACCATTCGTTCACTTCCAGTCGTCAGTAAGTAATATGTTTTCTTAAAGTCAGGGCAGTCTTTATAATCCTTCTTAATTCGTTCGAATCCAATTACTTCAGCTCTCATTTCTCAAGTTATCCTCACTCGACGACTTAATGCGTCTGCCACTTTATTTTCAGAACTTGCCTTGTGTTTGATCGTATAGGTGTATTCTTGCAAGAAATCAATCCAATGGTCATGTCGGGCATTGAGTTTCTTTTGGGAGTTAATATAATGCAATGCCTCATAATCAGAGAAGATAACAAATTCTTGTTGGAGCAGGAAGTCTCCAATACCTAAAGGATTGAATGATGACATAAAATTCTTTGTCATAGGTAGAGTACTGCTGCCTGATAATTGACTATATTACTTACAAGCTATTCTTAAACTACTTGCCTAGAGCACTCACCCAAGAAATGCTAGCCTTCGTAGGATTTTCACATATTACAATGCCCTTGCCCATATTAACTCAAGGGCAATTAAGTTAGAGTGGTATATAATACCCAAAATGTTCAAAATAAATGTAAGTATAATTTTTTTTTATCGAGCATGTTGACATATAAAAGTAAATGTAAAATATTCATTTAGTTAATAAAGAACTATTCATATTTTAAAATCAGTAAATTAAACTAAGTTGATTTAACTATTTAATTAATACCATATGGTAACAGTGGTTTTATTTCATTATTTATTCATGTTATTGTAGCATAGTTTGTGTGTGTTTGTGTGTGTGATTTGTGTAGGATTCCAAAATTTGAAAGAAACATTGATTGTATTATCAGATTTTATGTTTCTAACATGGTATTTTGTGGAATAGTTGGTGTAGAAATCTGGTTTGTGGAAAATCAGTAGGGAGAAGAGTTAAAGAAAGCTGGTAGGTGAGCCAAAAGCAGTTAAAAATGTTGATGAATGTGTTGAACTCAATATTTTGAAATTTAGAAGGATTATTGATCTTTATAGTTACTTAAAAAGGTTAGAATTCAGTTGCTGTCGCTAAATTCAGTAGGGAAAGAGTTGGAATAGGAAAAAGGTACGGGAAGGCGGTAGAGAAGGAAATTTTGGAAAAAAGAAAAGGACACGATGATGGTTTAAAATTGCGCAATATGAGGCTCGCCTTGAGGCCCGCCTTTGCGCAATTCCAGTAAAAAACGCCTCGATGCTTACGCCTCGAGTTTTTTTTATGAGGCTTGCGCCTCAACTTGGTTGAGGCCCGAATTGAGGCCCGCCTCGCCTCACTGGCATGAGGCTTACGCCTCACGCTATATATATTAAAACTTAAAACAATGCATAGAAAGCAGAAATTTTATAAGATGTACATTCATGTTTATTATTTTATGATAGCATTTATTTTAGTTAATTCCAATTTTATTTATTTTCTAAGTAATAATAATTATATGAGCACTGTATGATTGTGAGGAATGAATAATGATGGAAAAGTAAAATAAGTCATATATGCGGAATAGACCCGCGCAAGTAAAAGCGAAAAATCTAACGAGGTAAGCATGTTACTCTCAATTCTAAAAATTTGGAATTTAAACTCAACCTTAAATGAAAGAGCAGTTTCAATTCTAAAAGTTGGAAAACTTGACACAATATTGAATTAGAAAGCTGAAAGGGTGCAAAAGCTTATAGCCATCATATGACTTGTTTCAAGGTGTTGA